ATCCACAAATCAGCCAACGACAAATGCTGGAGGGGATGTGGAGAAAGAGGAACCCTATTACACTGCTGGTGGGAATGTACACTTATACAACCACTTTGGAAAGCAGTCTGGAGGGTCCTTAGAAAGCTAAAGATTGACCTCCCTTACGACCCAGTCATACCACTTCTAGGCATCTACCCTGAACAACAGGAACCAATATACAAGGACACGTGCACCTCCATGTTTATTGCAGCACTGTTCGCAATAGCTAGGATATGGAAACAACCTAGGTGCCCCACCACAGATGAATGGATCCAAAAATTGTGGTATCTATACACAATGGAATATTATGCAGCCATTAGAAATGACAAAATAATGGCATTTGCAGGGAAATGGATGGAGCTAGAAGGAATCATGTTGAGCGAGGTAAGCCAAGAACGAAGAGACAAACGGTACATGGTCTCCCTCATAAGTGGATGCTAAATCCAAAAGGTTAGGTGATATGACAAAACTAACAGGACTTAAGAAACAAAGAACTCCCGCTCATCTGGTTGAACCACTACTAAATATCCTCATGCTGCTGATCACAAATATGGTATATAACATGTGAACACTGTTATATATTACAGACTGTGGTAGACAATTTGCTCCAGGGAAGTTAGAATGAACTTGTGACTTTGAAATTATGTAATCATTTAATCACAATCAAAAAAAAAAAAAGAACCTCGGGGAAGGGAGGGAGGGAGGGGATGGTAGGGGGAAAACAATGGAGGGGGTAACAATGTTCAAGAGGAAGTGTACTCATAACCTCACTCATGTAACTGTAACCCTCTGTATAGTAGCTTTACAATAAAAAAAAAAAATAAAATAAAAAAATAAATAAAAGTAGGAAAGAGGTGTTTGTTTACCTGCTTAACAAAACTGACAATATAGAGCTTCCCTTGCATTCCACGGTGACACATGTTCAAGGTACACTGCTTTCGAACCAAACATTTACCCTCCGCCACTAGTGAAAGGCAACAAGATCTCTTTACAAAGTCTCATCTTTTTCAATAAATTTTGCATGAAAACATGTTCTCCTGGCACAAAGTTGCCTGCTGTCACATTGGAAGTGTGATAAATGTTTAATGAAAACAACACCACACAGCTTGGTGTCAGACAACAGCTATCACACAGTTCTGCTTTGATCCAAACAGACACTTAAAAGGAGTTCTAAGCATGCTCTGCACCACAGAGCTCGTAACCTATATGCAAATAAGGAGAAATTAGCATAAACGACTTCCTGCTGCATGAAGAAGTAAGAGGTAAGGAAAAATATGACAGCCTTTATAAGTATATAACTGCTGTCAAATCTCAGAGTCCAGCTTTCCTAAATCAATTCCAACATCTCCTGCTACTAAGTAGAGAGATAGGGAAAATCAACTTATCTACCTACAGTAACTAAGTACATGAAACTACACTTGAAAAAACTGAAATATCACCAAAGTTAAAGCCACAACTAATATGTACCTATGAGGTATGAATCCTACATGGTCCACAGTCCTTGTCTTATACATACTGCTCTAAAATTTATGGTTTTTTTAAAATTAAACTTATTTATTTCTTTTGTGTATGTGGCACCAAGGAATCCAACTCAGGGCCTCATGCATGTTAGGCAAGCACTCTACCACTAAACCACATTCCTAGCCCAAATATATGGGTTTTTAAGTGTTACTATGCCTATTTTGTAGAACATCGTATACACATAGGGCAATTCTTGACTCTTTTTGAAAGTATAAAGGTTTAGAAACTTACGTAAAGAAAATGAAGAATGCTATAACTCAACCATACCACTCTTCGACATCTACCAAGAACATTACCAGGCAGAATACCGTAAAGACACTTGCACAGCCATGTTCACGGCCACACTATTCACAATAGCCAAGTTGTGGAAACAGCCCAGATGCCATTCAATAGATGAGTGGATCAAAAAAATACAGTACTTGGGGCTAGGAAGGTGGCTCAGTGGTAGAGCGCTTGCCTTGCAAGCCCGAGGCCCTGGGTTCGATTCCTCAGCACCATATAAGCAAAAAGAAAAAAAGCTGGAAGTGGCGTTGTGGCTCAAGTGGTAGAGCGCTAGCCTTGAGCTGAAGAGCTGAGGGACAGCACCTAGGCCCAGAGTTCAGGCCCCACGACTGGATCCAAAAAAAAAAAAAATATATATATATATATATATGTATGTATATGTATACTACTTATACATAATGGAATTTCACTCCTTCTTTAGAAAGAATACAATGTCAATTGCAGGGAAATGGATGGACCTAGAAAAAAACATATTAAGTGAAGTAAGCCAAGCTCAGAGAGACCAAGGGCACATGTTTTCTCTCATATGTGGAAGCCAGATCCAAAATACAAGTGGGTATAATAAATTATACAGGACTATAGGCATTCACACACCGTCAGACTAAAGGAGGTTACAACTGGAGGAGGAATCCAAATGCATAACTCCTCTAAACATTTAAAATATTATTTATTGAAACAAATTCCAGGAAACGGAAACATGGGTTTGGTTGTTGTTATTTTCACTTTTGGTCTCTTTTTGGTCTTTTTAGGAGTGGTGAAGGGGACACAGAAAGAAAAAGAAAGGGTGAACAAATGCAGTCATGGTATTCGATATACACTAAGTGGAAAACACACTGTGCAACTGGTGGGCAGTGACGGAAGGGAGAAACTGGGGAAAGCAAAGGAAAGGTGACATTGTCCAAAAAAGAAATGCACTCATTACTTGACTTATGAAATGTCAATCTTCTGTACACTTTAATAATAACAATAAAATTATATTTAAAGAAAATAGGAGGAGGAATGGATAAACTTACTTCCAAATGTGAGAGAAATAACAAAAAATATATATATTTAAAGAAGAGGAGGAATGTATAAACTTAAATTCAAATCTGAGAGAAAAGAATTCCAGAAATGTTGGGTCCAGTTCTTAGAGCAGATTCAATTACTGGAGGCCTCTAAGAAACAACGAGAGTGAAAGCATTTCTGAGTGGCAGGCCAGAGTAGAAGCCATGCTCAGGAACGCTGCTCCCTACACTCCTAAGGAATACTAACATCATTCAAATTAAGGAGAAAGAATTCCGGTACATGTTCAGCTAATTTGTGTTGTTTTAACAGAAAACCACAGTACTGGTAATTTATAATGAATAGAACTTTCTCATCACAGTTCTGGAGGCTCGCAGGCAAAGACTGAACACCAGCATCTACCAGGGCCTTCTTTGTTATCACATGGAAAAAGAAGAAATTGGTGGGGGAAGACAAACACATCCTTTTCTAAAAGAAATCCACTGTACAATAAATAACAATTTTACTCCCACCATGACAGGAACCCACTCATGGCCTAATCCCCTTTTCAAAGGTGCCACCTCCAACACCACTGCCTTGAAGTAGCACATGAATTTGGATGGGGACACCTACAAACTAAAGCGGTAGTCAGTAACTGCTATAAATCCAAATTTCCTGACTGGTGATCTAAATCATGAGTGAAAACAGATTTAAATCAAATCCATCCAAATTCTACACTCAGAATAAATTGTAAAATGTCACTGATGGCTACTTGCATATTCATTCTCAACTAATTTTTCAAGTCCGTAAAAAATGTTCCATAGTAGTTGACTGTGGCTAAAGACATTCTTAAAGACATTCTTACATAATAATCCATAGAAGATTCATCATTATACCATGCTGCAATTATGAGACTGCATGACAAATTTTATTTCTGATAATTGACTTTCAGTAATAGGTTAGCAAAAAAAAGAAGTGTCTGATTTTAATTTCAAAACTGTTATTATGGTGAATAAGGGTGAATATGGTCTATGTAGTTTGTTTATATATAGGAAAATGAAACAATGAAAGCTTTTGAAATTGTTTTAAGAGGAGGAGACAGGAGTAAGGGAGAGTCTTGGAGGTAAGATTGGAGTATATTTTTACATGTGTGAAATGTCACAATGAACTCCCCTTGCACAAATAAATTATGCTATATGAATAGGAAATGTTTCTCTCTTCATTGAATTATCACAGTAAAACTTCCTTAAACTTTTAACAAATGCCAAAAAATATTATTACATAACAAGAAAAATAAACTTAAAAAAACAAAACATTCTAAGACATTCTGTGAATGAAATAAAGGAATAAAATTATTTCTAGAACAAAGGAAGATATTATAAATATATAAAAAATTACTGTGGTATGGCTGGGAATATGGCTTAGTGGTAGAGTGCTTGCCTCCATGCATGAAGCCCTGGGTTCAATTCCTCAGTACCACATAAACAGAAAAAGCCAGAAATGGCTCAAGTGGTAGAACTCCAGTCTTGAGCAAAAAAGCTCAAGGACAATACCCAGTCCCTGAGTTCAAGCCCCAGGACTGGCAAAAAAAAAAATTATTGTGGTAAATGCATATGCTGATCTTTTAAAAACTAAAAAGATGGTGCATGGCTTAGTTGTAGTGTACCTAGCAAGCACACGGCCCTGGACCAGAGTTCAAACCACAGCTCCACACACAGACATAAAAATATTTACATATTCAGGGGCTGGGAAGGTGGCTCAGTGGTAGAGTGCTTGCCTTGCATGCATGAGGCCCTGGGTTCAATTCCTTAGCACCACATAAGCAGAAAAAAAAAAAAGACGGAAGTGGTGATGTGGCTCAAGTGGTAGAGCGCTAGCCTTGAGCTGAAGAGCTGAGGGACAGCGCCAGGCCCAGAGTTCAAGCCCCACAACCAACCAAAAAAAAAAAAAAAAATTTACATATTCAACACTTACATGTATACATAACATTTACATATATTTACATTTGTATACAACAGATATACACATATATATAGACATATATATTATATATATGTGGTAAATGTTGATACTTCTGCTGTTAAGGCAATTCAGCCACAAGGCTGGGAAAGGAAAATGCTCACAGAAACAAAACACACTTCAAATATTGCTATGGACTACATAGTCATCACTGCATTGCAGCTGCTTCAGCTTACCCACGTTTGATGTTGTGCAATTCCTTGTCCTTGGCTTTTTCCTTCTCCTTTTCTCTCTTCTCTTTGTCTCTGCCTTTACGACGGTCTCTGTCCCGGGATCGACTTCGAGTCCTTCTATGGCTGGACCGTTCACTGCTTCGACTGTGGGAACGCGGACGAGGTCTTGACCTGGACCTACAGTAAGCAGATTTTATTAAATGGAGTTAGTTACGTTTTAAAAAGTAAATATGCATTTTATTTATTTGAAAGAAATACTTAGTTTTAGTTACAGATTCAGAAATCAGGTGTGCAAAGCAAGTACCTGAACATGATTCTTCATGACTGAGTACTCTCAGTATACATGATATATATGATATGAGATATGTATGTGTGTATATGTGTGTGTGTGTGATATATGAGAAGATACATGCTGACAACTGTGCAAGAAATTCAAGTTCAATCAAAAGCATCTACAAGTGGAAGGGTTTGTTTATTTGGTTTTGTTTGTTTTTAAGAGATGGTCTCATTGCATTGCTCGTGTTGGTCTTGAATTTCTGGGCTGAAGAAGTCCACCAGCCTCAGTCTTCCTAGTAACTAAAACTCTAGACATGTTTAGCAACAAGTAGAAGTCTTCCTTCCTTCCTTTCTCTCTCTCTCTCTCTTTCTCTCTCTCTCTCTCTCTTTCTTTTTTTTTTTTTTTTTGTCAGCTATGGGGCTTGAACTAAGGGCCTGAATGCTGTCTCTGAGTTCTTTTGTTCAAGGCTAGCATTATACCACTTTAAGCCACAGCTCCACTTCTGGTTTTCTGGTGGTTAATTGGAGATAAAAGTCTCCCAGACTTTCCTGCATGGCTGGCTTTGTAACAGTGATCCTCAGATCTCAGCCTCCTGAGAAGCTAGATTACAGGTGTGAGCCACTTGACCTGGCTTCAAGTAGAAGTCTTAAAGGTTCAAATTAAGTCTTAGTTATTCAAGTCTCCTCACATAATATAACCAATCAGAACCACGTATTGCAATTGGTAAAGACAGAGCTCTCTCTAGCCCTATAATTTCTGCTTTCTTATTCAATCTATTTTAAAATTTATAATTACTCCAATACAACCATTCACTGTATCCTATTATTGAGTAGGATACATTATATGCTAAGAAGTTATGATTTCACATTCTGGTTACAGCTCTAACAAGAAAACCCCATACTAGGCTGACATGCTTACAGACATCTATTCCAAACAAGTCAGGAAGGCACTGGGAAGTGACCAAAAGCAGGGAGATTTTGTAGAGGGTCTACACCTAGAAGAAGGAAAGTATAACAAGAAAGTTGTCAATTTTACCAGCTCTACTCTGAGAGTAAGTCCAGGTCTGTACCATACTGAACAGCTATACCTCTAACTGAAAACCTTCAGATTTTTGAAGCCCCAAAGCACAGACCAAGTGTAACCTTAGCAACAGGTCAGTTACAGGATATTCCTCTAACAGAGGGCAAAGGAAGACCCAAAAAATGTCTATAAAAATGAAATTCAAATCTCTGGCTGAATGCACCAGAGTAATTCACAATAGCCAAATTACAGAGTCAGTCCTGGTGGCCATTACTGGATAAAGAAAATGGGATTTATATAGAAAATAGACTATTATTCTGCTATAAATAACAAAACTATTTCATTTGTAAAAAAAAAAAAAAAAAGCAGAATTGTTATCATTTTAAGAAAACTAAGCCAAACTCAGAAAGACAAATACTGCTTGTTTTCTGTCATTTGTGGATTCTAGACCAAATATATCTAATACATATATATACACGCATATATAGACCATAAATATATTATGCATGTTTTTAACATATATATGTGAATGTAAATGCATAACTGTTTATGAAGAAATCAGGAAGAGATCAAGAGGGTAACAGGGAGATGAATATGAATATGCTACATGCTATATGAAAATAGAAGCTAAAATTGCAAGAAAAAATGCTGGGTACCAATAGTGCACACCTGTAATCCTAGCTACTCAGGAGACTGAGATTCTGAAAATTGTGATTTGAAGCCAGCTCAGGCAGGAAAGCCCATGAGACTCTTATCTCCAATAAACTACTCAGAAAAGGCTGGAAATGGCACTGTGGCTCAAAAGAGAGCGTAAGCCTTGAACACAGAAAAGAATTGTAAAAAAAAAAAAAAAAAAAAGTGGTGATAAGAAAGAATAAAGAGGGTAATATGATCAGTTTATTACACACTCAAACACTGTTGTAAATTAATATACACCAATAAAGTGCTGGTGCTCATGTGGGGTCCCAGAACGCAAATCTGAGGAGGGAAGATGGCAAGTTGGAGGAGCTTGGGCTACACGGTGGCACGCACCATCAACAACAACAAAAAAAACTACCATTATCAAGAAAACTAACAATAGCAGGTTCTGGTGTGGATGTGGCCAAAAGAAAACTCTAGTACACTGTTGGTGGGAATGTAAACTTGTTCAACCACTCTGGAAAGCTGTATGGAGGTTCCTCAAAAAATTAAAACAGAACTACCCTATGACCCAGCAATTCCACTCCTGGGCATTTATCCAATAGAGCACAAACAAGAATACACTAAAGGCACCTCCCAAACCATGGTCACTACAGCTCTATTTACCATAGCCAAGATACGCAATCAGCCCAAATGCCCCTCAATAGGTGAATAGATCAAGAAAGTGTGGTATCTACACACAATAGAATCCTATTCATCCATCACAAAGAATGATACTGTACCATTCATAAGGAAATGGAAAGACTTGGAAAGGATTATGTTAAGTGAAATAAGCTAGATCCAGAAAAGCACAGGTTGCATGGTTTCTCTCATTAGTGGGAACTAGATGTGCTTTTAAATCTAGAAGTAAATTCTGGGTAGCACCCAAGCAGTTATAAATTAATTAACTGAAGTATAATAGAGTCTATGAAGCATGCAAATAGTGTGGTTTTTTAGAAAGATTAAGTCAAAGCCTAACAAAAGGAGTACTAGGAAATGGGTACTTGCAAGGGGGGAAGGGGTCAAGAGGAGAGGAGTAGAAAAAGAAACAGGAGAAACGAATAGAACGCAGGCAAGAATGCATGGCATATGCACTGTATATGCCACAGAACTGAGAAAAATACAGGAAGAGGTGGGTAGAAGGTAGGTGAAGATGTTGAAGAGAGGACTCAGATCAAGATGCATTGAATACCTAAGTTTTGTTACAGGGAAAAAAATTCAATACATAATCTAAAAATTACAAAAAGAGAGAAGGGTTGGAGTGGGAGAGGAGGGTGGGAATATTAAAAGGCGTGACATAGATCAAAAGGCACTGCATTCATAAACTGTTCTGTTGAATGGCAACTCCTTTGGACCTGAAGAAAATAAAAATATATTTTAAAAAGTCCATGATTGAATCTGAAGACTCAGTTTCAGATGTTTACTGAAGAAAAAGGACTGGTTATAAGAAAGGAAAGCGCCTCAGGGATTCAAGGACTCAGTCTAGCCTATGTATTTACTCCCAGAGGTAATGAAAATAAAGGATGGTGCAGAACACAATTTACCTTGTGGCCAAATACCTTACAAATTTATTGCAAGACAATCTTATAGATTCTAGAAGTCCAGCCAAACTCTAAAGAAGATAGATATGAAGAAGACCATGAATAGGAATGTCATGGCCAAACTGATAAAATGAAAGAAGAGAAATCTTGAAAGTAACAGAGAAGCAAGTATAAAAATGGAACAATGAACCTCTTGAGATGGTCTGAGGAAGTAGGGAAGTGGAAGGGAGAGGGGGCAACAGTTGGAATACAATGTACACATGCAGGGAAATGTTACAACGAAATCCCTTGTATATTTAATGTACACTTATAATAAAAAAAAAATTGGGGGCTGGGAATGTGGCTTAGTGGTAGAGTGTTTGCCTAGTATGCATGAAACCCTGGGTTGATTCCTCAGTACCACATAAACAAAAAGCTGGAAGTGGCACTATGACTCAAGTGATAGTGTGCTATCCTTGAGCAAAAAAAATAAAATAAATAAATTGGCAAAAACAATATATTACAAATAAAGGATTGATTAATTGTTGCTGGCTTATCTTAAATTAAGGAGAGAGAGTTGGAAGAAAATCTTAACATGATGAAGAAAAATAAAACCAGCCCAAATCTGTATTCAGCAAAATCATCCCTCAAGAATGGGCCGGAAGCTGGGGCCAAGTGCCAAGTGGCTCACATCTGGAATCATAGCTGCTCAGCTGGCTGAAGCTGAGGGTCCCATTTCAAAGTCAGCTCAGGCAGAAAAAGGCTGTGCAATTCTTATTGCCAAATAACTACCAGAAAACCAGAAGTGGTAGGGTGCTAGCCTTGAGCAAAAAGAGTTCAGGGAAGGGTTCAGGCCCTGAGTTCATGTCCTACATCCAACAAAAAAAAAGAAAGAAAGGAAGAAAATGGGGTGGTAGAGTGGTGACTGTCTGGCAAATGTGAAGCCTTGGTTTGAGCCTCATAGTAAACAACAACAAATAAAATTTTAAAAATAAAGTATTATCTTTTTTTAGATAGAAGTTAAAAGAAAAAAAAGCAATCATGCTGGAGGCCAGTGACTCATGTCTATAATCCTAGCTACTCAGGAGGCTGAGATCTGAAGATCATGCCTGGGCAGTAAAGGAAAGTCTATGAGACTCTCATCTCCAATTAACCACAAAAAGACAAGAAGTAGAGTTGTAGCTAAAGTTATAGACCACTAGCCTTGAGTATAAAAGCTTAGAGAGAGTGCCAAGGCCCAGAGTTCAAGCTCTAGGACCAGAGGGAAAAAAAAGCAGTCATCAACAATAGACATAAATTACATTACACAAATTTGTTCAGGCTAGAATGAAATAACAGAGACACAAATTTGCATTTTCAGTAAGGAAAGACCATAGGAAAGTCAAAATATATAGCTAAATATAAAATATGATTATTTCCCTTCATTTAAAATTATACATATACACTCAAAAGTAAAAACTGCAGTGTTTTACCAGAAGGTTTTGGGATTCTACAAGCTCTATCAAGTACAGGACACATAAGTACACCTGTAGTTGTAAGGTTTCAATATTTCATGTTAAGTTGTACAATAATAAACCTAGGTACACTAAGAGTAACGGTACTTTAACGTTGGAACAACTATTTAAACGAAATCAAGGTAACTAAAAAGCTAATACATGAAATTGAAAGTTATAAAAATATTC